AGGACGAGTGGGTCTATGACTCAAAACCATCTGGAAGTTGCAAGAGTTAGAAACTTATCGAGTGTAATTTTGGGTGAACATATCATTGAGCCGTGGTATTTTTCACCGTATCCAATCGAACTAACAGAAGAAGATGAGATATACATTTGTGATTTCACGTTAGCATATTTTGGTTCACGTAAGCAATTCGAAAGATTCAGAACGAAGTGTTCTATGAAGCATCCTCCTGGTAATGAGATTTATAGAGATTCAAAGGTAAGCTTTTGGGAAATTGATGGCAGAAAACAAAGGACATGGTGTCGCAACTTATGTTTACTACTGAAGTTATTTTTGGATCATAAAACATTATACTACGATGTCGATCCATTTTTATTTTATATCATGACAATTAAATCATCGCAAGGTCATCATGTAGTCGGATACTTTTCTAAAGAAAAGGAAAGTGCAGATGGTTATAACGTTGCCTGTATTTTGACATTACCGTGCTATCAGAAGATGGGCTTTGGTAAACTATTAATTCAATTTTCTTACATGTTGTCTAATGTTGAGAATAAGGTAGGATCCCCAGAAAAACCCTTATCGGATTTAGGGTTATTATCTTACAGAGCATTTTGGACTGATACACTAGTAAAGTTATTAGTGGAAAGAAATAACCCTCATCTTTTTAAAAAGAATAATCCTCAATTACTAACTGAAGCGAGTCTGAAGGATTCATCTGTTAGTCCGCCTCCAGGCGGTCGTCAATCTGCTAATATTCAAAATGGGAATACGCCATCAAGTGATATAACAATTGACGAAATATCATCTATCACCTGTATGACAACTACTGATATATTGCATACCTTAACAGCATTACAAATCTTGAGATATTACAAGGGACAGCACATTATAGTGATAACGGATCACATTATGACTATGTATGATAAATTGGTCAAGAAAATTAAAGATAAGAAAAAGCATGAGTTAGATCCAGCTAAATTAAGCTGGACTCCTCCAGCTTTCACTGCCAATCAATTACGTTTTGGATGGTAGTTTAGTACATAATGAGCTTACGTTTACTTAATTAATATACATTTTATTTCTATAAATTAGTTTAATGCCTATTCTTCTCCCCATATTTTGATACTCTTGTCACCTTCACATGTTATCAATCTCAAACCCAGCATATCAAATGTTGATGCATATATGGCAGACTCAGTAGATCCAGTAACTGGTGTAGTTGCATCTGATTGTAATAAATTTCCACTAACGTAATCATAGAATTCCATTCTTCCATCATCGTATCCTGAAAATAGAGTATTATTGCTTGGGTTAATAGATAACGTGTTTATTATTTTATTTTCTCCACTATGCCCAAATTCATTTAACAATTCACCCCCCGGTAATAACCATTCTTTTAGGTTCCCAGATGTATCCCCTGAACACATAGTCATTTCTTGTGGATGCATAGCCATCAGCCTTATACTTTTGCTATGATGAGTTAGTGCTAATTGTGTGGTTGCTTTACGTATATCCCATAATCTAATGGTTGCATCCATTGAACTTGTAATTATTTGGGGATCACCGATTTGACTTGCAATAGATGTTATATCGCTTCGATGACCACTTAGAACCATAATTTCAGTTCTAGACCTTAAATCCCAAACTCGAATAACTGAGTCACGACCTCCAGTAAATAACAAGTCGAGTTCTGGATGTAACGCCATAGCATATATCCCTCCAACATGCCCATGATAATTTCGAATTTGACATCCCAGCAGTGAGTTTGTTCTCTCCAAGTCCCAACATTTCACAGTTTTATCTTCGGATCCTGAAAAAAGATATGGATATCTAGAAGAAACTGCCAATGACCTTACTCCCATTATATGTCCTGTTATCGTAGCTTTCAAATTCAGACTCGCCAAATCCCATATTTTAATTGTAGAGTCAGATGAACCAGTTACAAACCATTTGTTTGTTACAGGATCAACAGTACAAGATCGAACCCAACCTTGATGTGCACCTGCCATTACCCTTAACAATTTCCATCGTGAATCTGAATCAGGCCTAATTTCTGAAACTTGCTTGGAATCTACTTCGCTCATGTCTTTCGAAATCCGCTGATTTTGTTCTGTAGGTAATTGCGTTTGGATATTTATGCTCTCATCTTCAACCTCATCTCTGTTTCTTCTATTAACATTTTGAAAAATGTAATCTAATTTGGAATTATCATATACGGCTTCACTTAATGTATCAGACGGAACGATTAGATCCGTATCATTAATATTGAATAGTTCTTTGTATGAAACCATAGTAATTATAGGAGCTAGCCTGATGTTTTCACAAATTATTTTGATAATGATATTGAAATTCATAAACCTCAATTTTTAATATCACAATGGTTGCATCCATTCATACAGTTTTTTTGACGGCTAATAGCTTCCAAAACATAATACTATGACCAATGACTTGCTACTATGTCGACAATTGAACGATATTATTATAGAAAAGCCTAATGTTACATTCAAGATCATTCAGCTTATTCCTGCCACAGAGGGTGCTTCAGACCCTTTCACAACATTTCGGACTGATGAAAATACATTGGATATAGGATTAACAAAGAAGACATACTTATCTATATTCAAGGAAGCGCATATCTTTTGGCACAACAATTTAGTTCCATATGTACCTAAATTTGAAGAATACTGGCATAATGACAGAGAAAAATTAATAAATACGTATTATATGACATTAGGCTATTTGCTAACCACAAACGAGAACCATACAATAATCAGATTACATGAGTTGACGTTATGGCAAATATGGAAAACTTCGCCGAATAGCAGACAATTTTTGTTATCCGAATTTGAAATATTGACAGTACTTATAAGCAGTCGCTTGAAACGAATAAATAAAAGTTCATCATTATGGTTGATGGTCAAGAAAATAGCCATAGCGCTTATTTTCCATGAAATAGTGAATGCTGAGGTACCTGGCACTATTGAATTATACCAGGTACTTGTGAGCAGGATATTAAAGTCCTGTGAGATACATTTTGCAAATTACTATGCTTCTGGATTTTTGAAATGGTGTATACGATTTAATTTCATACTATACAAGAATACCGACAGCACTTCAATCAGAGCGTCCATGGTGGAAATGAATGCGATGATATTAAACAACCTAGTGCAGCTCTGTCATCAAAAGTTGACCGACGTTTCCTTATGGACCACCCTTGAAGTCTATCTCAGGGAATGTAATAGAAAACTAAGCTCTTCAGAGCACACAATAGATGAATATAACATGATCATCGACCAACTAACAACATTAGGTAAGGCCGACCTCATAAAGATCAATACGTTGACTGAAAAGGTTATGGCAGAATTTGACGTGCAAGACTTCCAACTCCAGCAAATTAATTGGTTACTTAAAGCAAATTGCTCTGCTTTATCGCCTTATGTGGCTTTGATGGCCCCCTTACCTGTTTCGTCTCAAGAAACTAGTTTGCAACTTCAGACTATGATCAGCTTCGCCTACAAGAGTGAGAAAGAACAGTTGAATAATTTTGAAGAAACTACAGGAGGAAATACCTTATATAATTCCAAGGCGAAGTTTGCATCGGTACTTCACCACCTACTACTGAAAGACATTGTCTAATGGTGGATTGTATTATTGTAATTGTATAGCTAATAGATAATAAGTCATTGCTCAGACGCACGACTCTTTATGAAGATTAAAATGTTGCGTAGATCAATCTCTAATAGTTTGCATGGCTTGAAACAAGACAAAATGGTACGTATGAATTCAAATAGATGATCTACTGTAGGTAATACTAACTAGAATGACCAGTTGAAAATCCGCCAACTACAAAAAAAGAAGCAGGAAGAGGCAGCAGCAGCAGAATCTGCCTCTTCTTCTACGTTGGTTGAATCAGCCAATTTGAATACATCAGCGAATCTTTCGTCATCAAGAGTAAGTGCTGCCCAACTAAGACTTCAAAAGGATATAACAGAAATAGATTTGCCTAGAAGTATCAAATTGACATTTCCAGACCCATCAGACTTGTTCAATTTCAAACTTTCCATAACTCCTCAAGAAGGCTATTACAAAGGGGGAACTTTTGAGTTTAAAACGGAAATAAACAACAACTTCCCCATAGAACCCCCTAAGATTAAATGTCTAAACAAAATCTATCATCCAAACATAGATTTGGATGGAAATATATGTTTGAATATTTTGAGAGAGGATTGGTCTCCGGTACTAAATTTGAATTCGATATTGATCGGATTAAATTTTCTATTTCTAGAACCGAATCCAAATGATCCGTTAAACAAAGATGCAGCCAATGTATTAGTGAAAAATAAGACGGTTTTTACCTCAAACGTAAAATCGTCGATGAGAGGTGGTTATATCGACAATGAACACTATGATAGAGTTGTATAGTATCAAATTCCGTAATTCGCATTCTCCTATGAACCACCAGGGGGTTATTTCGCATGGAGATATATAATATATGCCTTATTAAGAGTTATTCAGGCTGTAATGCACCGGCCAACCTGCGAGCGTGCCTATATGTAAGTATCTGTAGGGATATGTGACAATAAGTCTGATCTATTGCGAAGTAGGTCGATCAATTAAACTAACCTCTTAGAGCCTAGAAATACTTCAGCCTCATGAGACAATTGACCTGATTAAGTGTTCATGCATAGTATAAGATCTTAACGTAATGCTACTGAATTTTTACAATAAGAGCCAGCATTAAAATCAAGGGACGGTGGTTACGATTTTAAATAGGCTATGACAGTTGACTCCTAGCCATTGTTCGGCGTATGAGACGGTGAATGCAGCAAAACTAGATGTATTAGCGCTAAATTTACAGTAGAGCAACAAGTTTTGCAATTCGGAGCCACCATAACTCAACCTCTTTATGATATCTATATAAATGGACGGATATCATCATATATTCTTGAGATATCATTAAATTATCAACATAGATAGATATAAAACTTATAGAATAGAACATGCAATTTTCCACATTATTACAATTAGCTATGGCTACAGTTGCTGCAAATGGTGCTGCAATCAGTATTAATCCACTCGATTCAGCATTATCGAGCCTCTCGACTCCATCTGATATTCCAACAGGTGTCCCAACAGGTGTCCCAACAGGTGTTCCATCTGGTATCCCAACAGGTGTTCCATCCGGCGCTCCATGCAGTGAATCCAGCGATGCAAAACCAGCCAAGACTGGTGGCTTATTTGGTGGTCTTTTCAAACGTAATAATAATGAAGAAGGTCCACAAGCTCCAACAGGCGCCCCACCAATTCCATCTGGAGCTCCATCAGGTGTTCCACCTATCCCATCTGGAGCTCCACCTATCCCATCTGGTGCTCCATCAGGTGTCCCATCAGGTGTTCATCCAATTCCTTCTGGTGTCCCATCAGGTGTTCCTCCAATTCCTTCTGGTGCTCCATCAGGTAATTCATCAGTTATCCCATCAGGTGTTCCTCCAATTCCTTCTGGTGTCCCATCAGGTGTTCCTCCAATTCCTTCTGGTGCTCCATCAGGTAATTCATCAGTTATCCCATCAGGTGTTCCACCAATTCCATCTGGGGCTCCATCAGGTGTTCCACCTATCCCATCTGGCGCACCATCAGGTTTAAATAATAATGAAAAGCGTGGTGAACAACATGGAGCTCCATCAGGTGTTCCACCTATCCCATCTGGTGTTCCATCAGGTGTTCCACCTATCCCATCTGGTGTTCCATCAGGTGTTCCACCTATCCCATCTGGTGTTCCATCAGGTGTTCCACCAACTCCATCCGGTGCTCCATCAGGTGTTCCACCAATTCCATCAGGTGCTTCTGGCAATAATGAGACCCAAAATAATGGACATCATAATGGATGGAACAAACACCAATCCACCAGAGTCTAGTTAAACCTGCAATGTTGTCAACCAATGTTTTACTTTAGGTTTCTAGTTTTTAATTCAATTTTCTCGCAATGATCTAGCAGTATGCTTCCCTTTAGTTTATGATTATTAAATAAATATTTTGCTTTTACAATACGGCTGCGAATAGTTATGTAAGGTATTTTATTAGATAACAAAAATATTATAAAATATGCATTAAGGTCGCATGTATAAGTAGCATATATGAACATCAAGGAAAGCATTAAAACGACCAACAATTGCACAGAAATCCTGAATATATTAATAATGAGTTCTCATAAATCTTTAATAACTTAGAAGTATCTTTTTGATACACAGTACCCATAATGATTGAATGATTGATAATGATACATTGTATTATAGACGCAAATAGTATCAATCAATATCTAATATGGAAAACAAGGGCAAATTAAAACACCAAAAAAAAAAAAAAACCTAACTATTTGGATCATTAATTGATAAAAATTTATACTTCTTCTTTGTAATATCATAGCAGTCATTCAAAGCATCATCATCTACAAACCACGTAACTCTGCCAGCCGCACCTTCATTAACTATAGAGCTTGGTAAACCCTTTTCAGGTCTTTCCATGATTGTTCTCATGATTGGTGCCTTGGTCAAACCTTCAACAACAAAAGTAACCCTATGCGCATGACAAATCACCGGTATCGATAATGTGATTCTATTTTCAGGACCTGAAGGGGCGTTTAAAACCGGCAAACACCAAGCAAGCTTTTCTCTTAATTGCTCACCATATTTTGGGAATAACGAAGCGATATGACCATCAGGGGCACAGCCTAATAACAATAAATCAAACATTGGCAATTTAACTGAATCCTTCTTTGCAAAATTACGGATCAATAACTTCTCATATACATCGGCACATTCCTGCGGGTCATCGATCAATGCTTCGTCTATGTGATAAATATTTGGTTTTATGTCGCCACTGATGTTATCAAAAAGCTCCCGCTTGGCTTGCCCATAATTCGAATCGTCACTTTCAAACGGTACCAATCTCTCATCTGCAAAGTAGACGTCCCACTTATCCCACTCGATTTCGTCCTGTCTCGATAAAAGGCCCTCTTTTAGTATCTTGATTAATGACCCCCCACTGATCGCGATCTTGAACCTGACGTCCACCCTCTTCTTTTTCTCCTTCTTAACTTTGCCGTTTGCGCCATTTCCGTTACCATTTCCACTCAAAGACAACGCACTCGACGAATTGAATAACGCTGGTCTACTCAACTTATCCTGTTTGATTAATTCAATCTGTGCATGATCCAATGTATTGTACAACGTCATGTTTTGCGACGAGATAACATGGTCTGCTACTGCTTCAGCAACTCCCAAAAACTCGGGAAATGAGTATATTAAAGGAACCGTCGTAGTCATCTTTCAATTTATAAATTTAGATGTCTAACAATATCAATTTTTTTTTTTCGTGATTACTTGTCGTCAATTACTTTACGTCCTTCTGAAAGAATAATATTCACTCAATAAATATACAATAATGAATCTTAAGACGTATACACACTTGTCACTGTCGATGTCAAGTTATTATATACTATAATCAATACTTTATAAGGAAAACCTGGGTTTAATACCCTTGAAGATCACTCCCGGTAATTTTTTTAGAGCAAAATCCTCATTCGTATCACGTGACCAAATATTATAAGGGCCGTAATTGCTAAGGAGTGTTACGAAGGAATAATCATTTATTAGGGTAGTCGTTAGCTGGAGAGCCTAACGTATCAAAGTATAGACATAACAAGCTCATCATTTAAGCTTTTGGACCAAACTTGGTGGAAATTTGATGACGATTAGGGCCAAAACCATCATTGCTCATATGCAGAATATAAAGTGATGGTACTACAGCAATCGCCACTTATCCCATAGAGAATTAGGTTTTTAAGACTATTATATCAAAAGAAAGACAAGGATAGTAGCAGATACAATATGATTGAGGATTATTTGACATTGACAACTAAATTGGTCCATGGATACATTGAGGAATACGCACCGGTACATTTGACGAGCAAGCTAGTAGAATCGAGTAGATTCAACCAATATTTGGTGAGCAACGGAGATGAATTGAAGGTGACGGTAAATATAAGTGAGGTCGCAGAAAGAACCAACTTGGTGAATTTTATTACTATTGGAACGGAAAAGGTGGATACTGTGTTAATTGACTGGAACTCAGACGCACTAAAGACTGAATTGCCACTTGAAGAAATAACACCCGAATTAAGAAAGGAATTTGACCGCAAGATTGATTTGAGCATCAACAGTAAGATCAGTAAGCTATTCCACTATAGCGGAAGTGGTAGTCACGAAGAAGACCAACCAAGGGATTTGAGACACCCCCCACACCCACACCCACACCCACATAATGCGGTGGGTGCAGAGACTTCCTCGTCTGCAAGAAGAAATATTCCAGCAGATATGCCAGGTTTCGAAGACGAATATGAGATTTTGGGAACGGATAAGACGAGCGCAACTAGTAGACCGTTTCCTAACATTGGCGACAGAGACTTAAACCCACCGGGATTACCCAAGTATCCTGAAATGAAACCTTATCTTGATCCAACAGGGGGAGACGGTGATGGTGGAATGTACCCTCTGGGCGAACACCCGATATTTGGAGGTCATAGGAACAGCGGAAACTCTTCGAGATTGGGAGTTCCTCCTGGAGCTAGATATGATGATCCTATGGGCGAGGATAGTTTGGATGCGCTAGGTAGTGGCTTGCCAGGCAATATGGGAGGTAGCCTTGGTAGAGGAAACTCTGGATCAGGATTTCCTGGCTTTGGTAACCCAGGATCAGGAAATTCAGGCTCTGGACCTTTTGGATTCTGATGTGCATACCACTTCTTATGCGCAGTAATTGGAGCAGCAAGAAAAGATACTCTCAAAACAGGTACAATTTCCCAAGGATCATTACATTTACTTGACACAGAGGTTCATTATTAGCTCAATATGCATGGATGACAGCAGGTGGACAGATTGTCGTTAAATTTACATAAACGGCTATCGTTGACATTTAACTCGACGTCGATAAACCTCCTACATACGTTGCAAATGCCTATTTAGGCTGCAACGTCCTGTTTTCTCTAGCATGTCTTGCTTGATTTCATCCAAACAATATACATTATGCTCTTGTGACTCAATTATTATACCTAAAGAAGACAATCATCCCTTCTTAACGCATTTTTATATTCTGTATATTCGTTAATTGAAGACGCTTTCGGTAATTTTATCTAAGATAATATATTCACTATATTCCTTAATTCTTTATTACACTCTGTATGCACTACGTATTAAACCTCTGTTCTCCACTATTTTTGACAGAAGCATGTGAAGTATGCGAATAAACTCTATACGTTCGTGCTTATGCACTACTTATTTGCCGTACATATAATAAAGTACACTATAAAAAAACGATTCACCCATTGGGCCATCCTTTGCATTATTGTAAGACTTGTAGTCATTGTCAAAATCACTATGGATATAACGACCAATTAACAAAGCGATTGTTATTGGGAAACTGCAACAGGAATATGAAGGGGGATAGTGGTTGCTATGGGTTTCGAACTTCGAACTTATTTTGGGGCCTATGAAAATCAAATTGTCGACAGACCACTGTAATGGAGTGAGGGTTGACTAAACTCTGGAACATAAATATGGTTGCATCGCTTCGAAGTCGGGGTCTGCAAGCTACAAGCGATGGCTATACGATATAGTTTATTTAGCTTATGCCAGATATGGCTGCGGACATTTCACACTTTCGTAATAGCTCGGTGAAGACATTGCCTGATTCGGTAATTTTATTATTTTTTTTTTCCTCCGCATTGTAGAATATATTTTCATGAATGCACCTAATTAGGTAATTTTTGTATCAATGATAGTCAAATGTCAAATATACTAGTCACAGCGTAGGCAGTCAACACATTGAATAATCTTTATTTATATATATATGAATTCCCAGATAAATTAAGATTTTTTTTATACATAGTTTTGTTACTAAGCTATAATCAAAATATATTATTTTTAATAACATTATTATATGCATATTAGTGTGGAAAAATAGAAGCAAATCTAATACCCAAATAATACCCCCAATTTGCTACGATTTTTTTGGAAAACTACACTTCAGCTATTTTCATCGACTTAAACATTTCAACAGACTTAAATAATAGCTAAAACAGGTGCTATCATAATACCCTTAGATTAATACATCGGAAAGCAACCTTAAGATTCGAAAATCTGATATTCTGATATCTCAGTGATTCAAAATGTCCCATATATACAGTTCGAATACTTCGACGACTAGTGAAGAACCAGTGAATTCACCGCCATACAATTCTTACACGAATAAATACAACAACGCTAATTTATTGCAAGCTAATTCGAATAATAGTGAAACCACCACTACATACGTGGATAATTCGATAACGTCCAGGCTTGCCGAAAATGATAAAAGGACACCTAATGTCACACCAGGAAATGGCGGTAACAAATCGTCAGACTTGAATTTGGAAGGTCAGGAAATTTTACACAATGAAAAGAGATTATTCTCCTTCCTTTTCTCCAAAAAGGTGCCACCTGTCACAGCACCAGAAGAAAGAACCTCCTATCCTTGGAAGACATCTAACCCATTAAATAGAATGATGTTTTTATGGCTTTGGCCAGTACTATTAAAAGGTTATAAAAGAACATTATTACCGGATGACTTGTGGTATCTTACTGAAGATTTAAAAGTTGAGTCTATGCATGAAAGGTTTGATGTGAATTTAAACAAAAGGTTAGAGCGGGATAAGGAAAAATATTTAAAAAAGCATAATGATTTGGATGGTCACAAATGGTCGCAGTACAATATTCCTTTGGCTTTATTCGATACGTTTAAATTACAGTACGTCATGAGTTGTGTCTTCTTGGGATTATCATTTGTTTGTCAAGCTTTATCTCCTTTGATTACTAGAAAATTAATTGATTTTGTGCAAAACCTGTACGAAACTAGGATTTTTGGTGTTGATGTGAATTATAATGAGGGTATTGGATATACTATCGGGGCGGTTGTCTTGATTTTTATTAATGGTTTATTGTTAAATCATTTTTTCCACAACGCAATGGTAACAGGGGCACAAGCCAAGGCTATTTTGACTAAATCATTACTTTTGAAATCCTTCAATTTGAGTTCAAAATCAAGAAATCAATTTTCGATTGGTAAGATAACTTCATTGATGAGTACTGATTTAGCTAGAATTGATTTAGCAATTGGATTTCAACCTTTGGTCGTTTGCTTTCCTATTCCAGTCATTATAGCTGTTGTATTATTGCTTAAATTTATTGGTGTTACTTCGTTAGCTGGCATTGGTTTATTCATTGTTTCTTTGGTAATTTGTGTGTTATTGACTAAAAAGTTGTTTACTACCAGAGAAGAAGTTGTTTTATACACAGACGACAGAATTAGTTTAATGAGAGAAGTTTTGAATAACTTGAAAGTTATTAAATTCTACGCTTGGGAAATGGCTTATAAAGTTGGTATTACTAGAATACGTAACAAGGAAATGAAATATTTGTTTACCATTAAAGTCTTGAGAAACTTCGTTACCGCATATGCTGTGACTTTACCAACCTTGACATCAATGGTTTCATTCACATCTATGTGGGCAAACAACAGTATGAAAAACCCAGGTAAGGTCTTTTCCTCATTGTCATTATTTTCTATTTTGGCACAAGCTATTATGTTATTACCCATCGCTTTAGCTACCGGTGCCGATGCATTAATTGGCTTCCGTCGTTGCAGAGATTACCTAGTGGCTGAAGAATATAATGATGATTTGGAACAAAGATTAGCATCTGACATGGAAAAAAGATATATTGCTGGTGATACCAATTCTGAATTCGAGTTCAAACATGAGTCTTTTGATTTAAGTGAAGCTGCTTCATACAAGAATACGAATGTAAATGCAAATGCTATAGAAATAAGTCATGCTAATTTTATTTGGGAATCCTTTCACGCCGAAAATTCCAGTTCATGGGATTTGAATTCCACTGGAAGTCTGAGCGATAAAGACTCTAAACGGAAGAAGAAGTCTAAATCCAAGGGTGTCAATTATCAAATTCATGAAAAAGATAGTTTTCAAGATTCATCAAGATCATCTAATGAAACATACTGCGAATCTCCTTCTACAATAGAAGCTATACAATTTCCAGGTTTAACAGATATCAATTTATCTATAAAGCAAAATGAATTTGTTATAATAACTGGTTCAATTGGATCAGGTAAGTCTTCATTATTAGCCGCATTATCCGGATTTATGAAGTTAGAGAATCCCTCAGTCGGACAGGTGAACATTTATGACGATTTGTTATTGTGTTCGGACCCTTGGATTCAAAATGCCACTGTTAGAGATAACATTACTTTCGGAAAACCATATGATGCAATTAGATATAACAAAGTAATCAGCGCATGTTGCTTAGAAGACGATATAAAATTGCTACCAGCTAGAGATTTAACAGAAATTGGTGAAAGAGGTATTACATTATCTGGTGGTCAGAAGTCGCGTATCAATTTGGCTAGAGCTTCATATGCCGACGCAAATATTATGTTATTTGATGATGTTTTGTCTGCCGTTGACGCCAGGGTTGGAAAGCACATTGTCAATAATTTATTTAATGGTCTTTTGAAATATAAAACCAAAGTTTTGGCAACTCATCAATTATCATTAATTGAATCTGCGGATAAAGTTATCTATTTAAATGGTGATGGAACAATTGATTTCGGAACTTTGAATGAGTTACTTGCCAGAAATAATCAATTTAAAAGATTGGTAGAATTCAATACAGACCTCAGTAGAGATAATGAATCTGGAAACAATGATCACAGAGTTTATGAGAATTACAGTGATTCGGATTATGATAATAATCAAGGCTTCGAAGGAGCAAAATTAATTAGACAGCAGTCAGTTGTTCCCGAATCAAGTGATATAGCAGGTAAAATAATGGGTGATGAAGAAAGAGCAACAAATGCGATATCTTGGGATATCTACAAGAAATATATTGATTTAGGCTCAGGATTCTTTGGTTGGTCTGCTGCCCCTGTATTTATATTCTTGATGACGTTAGCCACATTTTGCCAACTCTTTACTAATACTTGGTTATCGTATTGGACTGAAAAGAGATTTTCAAATATGACTGATAACGTCTATGTTGCATTATATGTCATGTTTGCATTTTTAACTGTTTTCTTTACGGCTATTGAATTTACTATGTTAGCTTATATGAATAACAGATCAGCTAAGTTGTTAAATGTTAAAGCTGTTGAAAAGATATTGCATGCACCAATGAGTTACTTAGATACTACCCCAATGGGTAGAATCTTAAACAGATTTACGAAAGATACTGATTCTTTAGATAATGAAATTGGGGAACAATTAAGATTATTCTTGTTTCCATTGGCAACTATTATAGGTATTGTTATCTTATGCATTTGTTATTTACCGTGGTTTGCGATTGCTGTTCCATTTTTGTCATTTGCATTCGTTTTCGTTGCCAATTTTTACCAAGGATCTTCAAGAGAAATTAAGAGGTTAGAAGCAGTTCAAAGATCTTTAGTATACAATAATTTTAACGAAACCTTATCTGGAATGTCAACAATTAAGGCATACAAAGTAGAGGAAACATTCATTGAGAAAAATGATAAATACCTTAATAAAATGAACGAGGCTTATTATGTATCAATTGCTAATCAAAGATGGTTAGGTGTTCATTTGGATATTATTGCTAGTATTTTTGCCTTAATTATTTGTTTATTATGTATCACTGATCAATTTCACATCAGTGCGTCTTCAACT